AAGTGAACGTAGTTGAGCTTTCCCACGTCTATCGGTCATACCTGGATTCCTGCAATGCCTCGGTTGAATATTTTGATGTTGACTGGTTGAGTGTCGCTGATGGTACAGTTGTAAGGCTGTCAAAGTTTGGGACGTCAGATGCTATCGCTGTAGTTGGCACCTTTGAGCTTCCGGTAACATGCTGTTCCTCGCTTGAGATGAAAAGAGCTTGTTTATCAACACGAAGACAGCAGGACCTAATAGGGAATTTGTTTATTATTCAGTTCCAACCTGGATCGGGTATCAAGATCGGGTCTGCTTGTTTTCTTGCAAACGTCAGATTGATCGTTTGTTTTTAAAACCTAGCTCAGGTTGAGGTTCGCACTAACAAAAAGTTCGGTTTCGCACTGGGTTGGAACTGGTTCCAACCCCGATAATAAACAAATTCGCTATAAGAGAAGAGGTGACAATGTATGTGTGTATTCAATCCAACCTCCACTGGCCGGCAGTGTTATTATGGAAGAACTCTCTCTCTACAATGTCGCATTTATGGTCATTGTAGACAGCTTTAGTCCGGGAGTTAGAAGGTGATAGCTCTATTGCAGATCCAGCAACCCATTTCAGAATGCTTGAAAGTCACGCCCATTCCGATGTTATTTTCACTTACAATAAGCCCCGCATGTATGCATCACCGTTATCAAATGGATATTGGTATTACATACACGCTTCCAGGTTCGAAAATATATTTTTTCAAACCTGGCATGTATTTAGTTTAGTTTTGATATATATATTTTTAAATAATTTGAATGCTCTCACCATATTCTGCTTTTCCGCCGTCGTTGATTACTTTATTTGGAATCTCTTAAACTTTTTCTCTAACGCTTCGTATTACATTCCGTGCTTCACCAGCAATTTCCTTCCGTAGATCGTCCTTGGTTGGTTATAATATGATTTCGCCTTTTTTGGTCGGTTTCATTGAATTGAAATGAATTGCCATGGTGATCTGGGACGAGGCTCATATCCAAAGTCGCTGTTCCACCGAGCGCTCCGTGTGCGAAAAGAAAATGAAAGAAATTCAAAAGGGATCAGTTTCAAAAAGTGACAGTTTCATCAGATTCTCCAACTAACCATAGTCAAGCAAAGTAAGAATATACAAGCTATATCGCGACTATATGGTTACTTGGGTACTCATATAGCCGTCGGAATGGTTCATCGGTTGCGAAGTGAAATATTTCTGAAAGTGATGCGTTATATTTCTCAATGTTTTGATTTTATCCTAACGTTACCTCCATGTTATTTCACAGACAAGCAGACACAACACATTGAACACTTATCATTGTAAACCCTACTAGAGTCGGTGTATAATGAGTCACGCCAAGAGAAAAACAGTTGAACTCGCATCCCGGCTTTCGAAAGATTCCCTTTCTTTTCACTTGGCAACAAAAGACTTCTGCATCAACTTCAAATGACTTCTAGCGAGGAAAAAAAGTAACGGCTGTAGTAAATCATTAATTTAGTGATTTTGTCAATTTATCTTTAGTACAATTAGAATTTTTTTTTCGAAAAAAATTTTGTTGGCTTAATTTACTCTATATGTATCTGGGAATGAGCCTTTAAAAGCATAAAGCCGTCCGGAACTTATTTAAAAAGTTATACGCAATTCAGTGAGTGCATGTCAAATGGCTGAACATGTCAAAGTTGAACTTTAAATGCTTCTACTGAAAAGTAGTGTTTTCAAAATCGCCGTGCAATGTACAGGTCAGAGTTTTCATTCAAATCGATTCCGGTTTTCTGTTTTATGTTCATAATTAAATTCTCCACAACATGAATAGAAAGATTTTTTAGATTTGTTTGTTATAACATGTTTTTTTTTATAAACAAAGTCGAAAAAAATAGGGTTTTTTAAATTTTTTTTTTCAACTTCAAATTTTTTTGTGAAAAAACCATTATTTTTACATACGAATTAATTCATGTTGTGCGCTGGACCTTCAAATTTAATGTCCTGTTTTTTTTTGTTTCAGACGTGATCATGGAGGTAGGGACTGCACGGCGCGAAGTGCTGCTTTAAAAAATTGACTTCACATTATTTATAATAATTGGGCTAAATTGCAAAATTTAAAAAAAATGTCACTGATAATTAATCTTCATTAAATCCTTAATAACATACGTAAAGAATCGCTAACATTCATTCATTTCCCTACTCGCAATCCACTCTCAAAGATAGGCCTCATTTTAGGCCTTCTAATTGTACTTCCCCCCTTAACGAAAAATAGTAGAAATTCTCACTACTGACCATTACAAAACGTATCGCATGACAAATGTAATGCTCACTGCGTGTTTATGATCATTTGTTCGATTATATTTTATATTTAATTGCAATACCTTTCGTGGACCTTTCATTGCATCGTAATGCTTTTTACTTTGTACGATAGGTAGCCGGTTTGACAGTTCAATAGGTAGACTTGGCTTCACTCTTGGCGTGACTCATTATACACCGACTCTAAACCCTACCACCATCTGTTGTATATACTTTCATGGGCAATACACTCAACAGATGGTTGTAGTATGTAAACGTCAAACGCTAGAGAATTGATTATGTGCACCACAAGTGGCGGTACTACCAACTAACAAACATTTAAATTGACCGTTAAAACGATTTCTATGAAGGTTTTAAGAGTGTTATGTCTGTTTGTATGTGATCATACCTTCACTATCGCAACTTCGGGTAATCTGCGAAAGTATTTACATTTTTCTCAGGCACTTTTGATCTAACTGCAATTACTCTCTCTCATACTGCATATTTGAAATGTTCCACGACCGAATTGGCACAACGACGCCCTATTCGCTCTCTAACCGAAGCGCAGGGTTCTATTGACGTTTGCTGGGTTTACACATAAATGCACGGCGAATGAGAACGACCCAAATTTGAGTTTAGTTCACTCATAATCGCCAAAAGTGCAGGAACTCAGCGATGAGTAAATTTGCCTCATGTTTTCCAAATTTGAGAAAAATAAAGATTGGATTCACTCAGTCTATTGGTACTACTCCGAGACTGGATAAAATTTTCGTCAATTTCCTCATCTTCCGGCAGATTTTTTAGGTTTTCCACAGGAAATCATGAGACAAATTTTACTCATCGCTGAGTTCCTGCACTTTTGGCAATTATGAGTGAACTAAACTCAAATTTGGGTCGTTCTCATTCGCCGTGCATGTGTAAACGCAGTTTAGTCATTTTATGAGTACACAGAAAAAAAAGTTGTTGAATATTACATCCAAACAGCTGCACAGAGGTCATTCCGTCGGTTGTGTAATATTACGTTGTACGATGTACATCGATTTTGCGAACAAAATTACATCCATTGATGTAATATTGTATCTGCTTTTTGCTATTACATCATTATTTCATACATCAGCTTGAATTACGTTGATCAATATTACATTTTTTTTTTTGCTGTGTAGGCTACTTTTTTCACGAAATGTGTGAAGTTTTACACACGGTTAGAAAAAAGTACCCAAAAGTAAGTTCTTTTCACTCATCTCGGCACTATAGTGCAGGAACCCAAAAATAGGTAAAGCGGGTCAAAGTAGTTTTCATTTACTTGTGTGCAATTCGTATGGAATTTTCCACTAGCTTTCAACGCAAAAGTAAGTTAGTTGTACCCAACAGTAGGTAAATATTATTATACTCAACGTTGGGTTCCCACACGTTACTACCCCTGTTGGGTGGTTTTGCTCCTCCGTTTTTGACAACATTAGAAGGAGAAAAGGAGACAAACTAGTCAAAAGTAGGTAAAAGTGAACTGGCCGTTGGGTACTTTTTTCTTACCGTGCACATTAATGTGTTTACGCTGGTTACCGTGCACCAGGTAAGCGTGCACGGAGAAAAAATACTACCCAAAATTTGAGTTCTTTTTACTTAATATTGACTTCAGCCTTTCACTTGCACTCGTTATTGTTGTCAAAAAAGGAACGAGAGATTTGACCCAACGATATAGTTCAGCCCAATAAGTTTCGTTTGAGTAAACTGCATATTCTCAAATTTACGTGAAATAAACTTAATTTTGGGTAGAATATACTTAAGAGTAGGTAATTTGTTTGCTGGTGTTAAATGGAAACTACTATTTGCGATTTACTCAAATTTGGGTTATTGGGCTGAACCCCGAAATTGAGGGAAAAGTACTTAATTTTGGGTAGTTTTTCATCTCCGTGTTTTGCGACTCATCACCTCTTGTGCTGATTTTTGCAACGCACAACTATATCGGCTCACATCTTTTAATTCTAGTAACGTCAGAATCTGATGCCAGCACGGAGAAAAAATACTACCCAAAATTTGAGTTCTTTTTACTTAATATTGATTTCAGCCTCTCACTTTCACTCGTTATTGTTGTCAAAAAAGGAACAAGAGATTCGACCCAACGATATAGTTCAGCCCAATAAGTAACTTTTGAGTAAAATGTATATTCTCAAATTTACGTGAATTGAACTTAATTTTGGGTAGAATATACTTAAGAGTACACGCTAACTTGAAAGTACCCATTAATGGTTGAAAAATACCCATTTTGAAGAAAAGTGGCTTAGCTCATTAAATGAGTAAATTTTTTACCCATTAATGAGTATCTGTTACCCATTAATGAGTAATTGTTAATCATTAATGGGTAACAGATACTCATTAATGGGTAAAATTGTTTATTCATTAATGAGTTAAGCCACTTTTCTTCAAAATGGGTCCTTTTTTACTCATTAATGAGTACTTTCAAATTAGCGTGTAGATAATTTTTTTTTGCTGGTGTTAAATGGAACTACAATATGCGATTAACTCAAATTTGGGTTATTGGGCTGAACCCCGGAATTGAGGGAAAAGTACCTAATTTTGGGTAGTTTTTCATCTCCGTGAGGGAGCCCAAGCGCATAAGTTTAGTAATCAAAACAATAGTTCGTTGATTATCTTCAGGTGAGATTAAATCAAATTTTGATTCATAATAAATTACCAGAATAATAACTTTTCGAAAGGTTTAATTTAGACTGCCAGGTTCCTGTTCGTTCATTTAACATAGCCCTAAACGCATCATGGAGGACGATTACGGTGGCGTTACGGATTCCCCCAAACGCGGACCAACCCTTTCGACTTCAACGTCCAGCTTCGAACCGTTTGACGCCCACGATCCCAACCTGTCCCGGTTAGCGACGAAAATGTTCCAGAAAACGGGGGAATACATAAGCCACGAGCTGAATACAACGGCAAACGATTACAAGCTGATCGAGAACATGAATAAAGCCATGATGGGCAAGGTGCTGGAGATGAAGCAAATGTCCGAATCGATCGCGGCCAAGAATAGTGAACTGAACCGGAAGTATGAAGAATTGGTAAGCATACTGGTAAACATTTTGCTATTGGTTACAGTGAGACTGAATTGCGTAAATGGGATTTTAGAAACCACTTCTGCAAAAAGTAGACGATATCGAGTCCACCGTGGATAAACTGGAAGCAGCCGCGTTCCAGCTGGATTCCTATACGATTAGGCTGGAAAATAAGTTTAAAGCTCTGAAAGCTAAGAAATAACAGATTAATGTGTGAAATAACCAAAGACTAATCCGTAGTCACACGTAAGTTAGTTTAAGTTGAATTTTATTTATAATACAAAAATATCAAATCAATATGAATCGTTGGTGTTTCCTGTACAATATGTATTACCCTAGTATAATCTTAAATAGTATCGCTACAATATTAAAGAAGATCAACGGAACTAGAAAGAGAACATTTAGTTTTAGGAAACATGGGAACAGAAATAATGACGTGGAAGCTTACTTTTGGCAACAGTTCGGATTGATCGTACTAGGTTCAATACCTGTGATTTTACAGTAGGAGCTTCGCCAAATCCTTGCACCTGAGCGGATGCACCCCATCCAACTGGAACGATTTGAAATATTATTTTAACTTTATCCTGAAACATCTTGAGTAATACAACTATGTACTTACATTTAGATAAAAACCGCTCCTCGTGCAGGATACAAACTGCATTCAGACAAAGCAGGGTGGCTTCAATCAACGACCACAGAGTGAACATTTTAATATAAAGTTTAGGACTTCTAGTGTAAACCTATCGCAAATTTTTCAAAAAAATCTGCGAAATAAACAAATCTAGATAGAGCTGGAATAAGGGCGAATGTCGCAAGTGTAAACAAACTGAGGTTAATACATCACGTTATACAACTATTAGAATGCTACAAAACTATACTAAAAATGTTTGGACAAATAATGTACTTTCTTAAAAAAACGAAAAAAAAATAAGGGCGAAACCAACTTTTTTTTTTATTACAAATTGAGTTGGCTCTTACGGCCGCTTCCTCCCATATACATAGATGGGGCGAAACAGACATATTTTCTCCATACAAGGCGAAAGATTTAATTTGAATCTTTTCACTACTCCTTGCAATTACCGGTTGGTAATCAAAAGAAAATATTGTTAATCTGATCGAAATAAGCGAAAACACCCCAACACATGAATTTATCTAGAATCCAACAAACTGCAATAGGTCGATAGTAACAAACCATCAGGAAAAAGAACGTAAACATTGAGGCGAAACAGACAATGTCAAAAACTAGCAGGCGAAACATAGGGGCGAAATATCATCTGTGAACGCAGCCGGGCGAATAACCTCAAGGCGATACAAGATACTATAAATCAAAAGGGCACATGCAACATTTTCATTTTTTTCGAGCTGTAAATAAAAATAAAAATATTTTTATTTATCTCACCATAATGCTAACCAATAATGTAAGAATTAGGAACAGTTCATTTCTAGAAATGGGTTTAAAGTTTAAATTATATTTAATAATTTTTGTTCAAAACTTCAGACTCATTTTTCTCAGTTCAAGCCCATTGCGACATTGGCCCTAATTCCAGCTCTATCTAGAAATTTAGAGTGAAACTGGGTGAGAGAGAATGTTTTCATTGAAATTGACACTGTTGCGAAACGTCATTGACAATTCTAGAGTAACATTTGAAATAGGCCTATGTCCAAAACGTAAACAAACCAGAAAATAAATTTTAAATTTTGACCGTCATTATTCAATTCATATTTAAGAAAATTGAAGTATTTTAGGCATTTATATTGTTCACAATAACAATAGTAACTGTATCTCAGTATACAACATCCAAAATATGCGAAAAGCTTTCAAAATTATATGAAAATCGATAACAATATAATTTCTTAAATTAATAAGCCTTTTTTGTGAATCTTTCAATGGATAGGCCCTTTTTGTTAAGCCGTTGTGCTTGTCATCAGAAATGGTAGGCCCTTTGCTAAGCCTTTTCGCAACGTCAAATAAATTCAAAACAAATCATCGGCCCTGCCTCAAGCAGTAGGGCCTAGCTTTGGTTTGAAATTTTTCAATCATCGGCCCTTCTACGTCACTAGGCTTATCAATGAAATGAAATAAATGAATGGTTGGCCGTTTTAGCGTGCGGGCCTATTAATGAATCGAAAAATTTCGTTGATCGGCCGTTTCGAAAATCGAGTTATTTTTAATGATTTTTCTCGATTATGCGGAACTTTCCTACACGATTAGTAGCTATCAAGCAGTGCTAAAGAATGATATCAAAACCCGATTTGTTTACGTTTTGGACATAGGCCCATTTCAAATGTTACTCTAGAATTCATAACGCATCGTAAATCGTAGCGTCAGTAGTTGTTGTTGTTCGTGTGGCATACCTTCTTCTGCGATGGTTATACGGTCGTTCAATCTCACTCAGAAAGAGAAACTTCTACTCAGGGATTGCAGATGCCTGGCATTCATAAAAAATCCATAAAAGATGATACATATATTATGTCACGCGCTATGGAGGAAGGGGGAGTGTAAGATTTTGTGACAAGCTATGCATTAGGTATACGTATAGGGTTACGGTATGTAATGTGGGTCTAGTCCTTTCATTCGGCCTATCACGCAAATAAATAATTAATTAAGGAATATTACACAAAAAATAAGGAAAATATTGATCACTGATGATTGATAAATGTGTACCACACACAAATCAATTTATATCACAACATTTCAATACATTTTCAGCTCTCGTAAGTAATAAAACTGGTTGAGAATATCACTCTGTTCGGAGTTTTTAGCCGCCATGACTTCTAAGGTTAAGATGGGAAGGTTGCACTGACGATCATCAAATGGCCTGATTATGGCATTTATTGAATGGAATTACCTGATAATACACACTAGACGTAAAACTCACAGTTACTGTTTGAATATTTTATGTTTATTTTAATTGTTTAACAACGTTTTCACAAGTAAATCATGGACCCAACTTTAGGGACACATTTCTTTTCTATGTTCCTAACTTTGGCCCATGAAATTCATTTGACAGCATATAGCAATAAGAGTAACGTCAACAATGTGGTTTGCATTTGGATGATAAGGAACGAACAGGAAGGGAGATTTTTTCTGCCAAATCTGTATAATGAACATCACAATGTTTTGATTTAGATATTCTGCGGTCGAAAGACGATAAGCGAAATTTTTAATTTTTAATTTTTAACTTGAGTGATTTAATGTAGTTTTCGTAAAATTTTCTCTAAGAAATGTTTTGAGGAATGAAGAGTATTAAGTTAACAGTGATAGTGATAAAAAAAAATACATAAGAAAACGTTACCAAGAGCGTTTTTTTTGAGAATCAAACAGGATAGGACGAAGTTGCATCCATAAATAGACCCAATTTGGGGACAATAGACCGATATTACATACATTTCCCTGGTGAGTTTTTGTCTTAAAAAAAGTAAGTTTTTCAACTTTTTGCGGTTCCTGATAGCAAACGACATGATAAGCATATCTAAGCATACCATTTAGCAGTAGAATATCGTTTGCAGGTAAATTAATTGATGAGTTATGATTAAAAACGTAATCTATGGCTGCATATTAGACCGAGGTTAGGGACGTATACCCTATATGAATAGAAAAAAACGACGAAATGGGGGAGCGAGACTCAATTTTTAATATAATTGAGGTTATAGTTTCAGTTTTAGTTTATAGGGTACAATACATACAAGGTCCTGGCTCACCTGGCTTATTGGCATCAGTGAAATGTGAAAATATTTAGTGGTGTTCATATTTAATCGCAATGTTTATCTTTTTACACAAAACAACTGTTCAGTGCCAACATTTCAAAGGGGCGTAATTGCATTTGTAAACAATGGCTTTGGCCGTCGATTTCTCGCGAATAAAAGCTCACTCATGAAAAATAATGACACCAGCAGGTAGATGAATGTTTCCTCTACCAGCTAGCATTGTAATTTTGGAGAGGTTAAATTTCATTCGCGAGAAATTGACGGCTAAAGTCATTGTTTACAAAAGCAATTACGCCCCTTTGGAATGTTGGCACTGTGTTTTATGTGACGTCAGTCCGTTATTCGCAGTATGAATATTGTGCTGGCGTGACGTCGTCATTCGCGTGCTCAGCAATATTTACAGCATTTTTGCTACTAACACCAGCAAGCTGGCCTTTGTTCCATACTTTATTTGATTGACATCGAATGGGATAGTGTTGCCAAAAACGTTAAGGACCGGTAATAAAAAAGTATAATTAAATTTAAATTCCAATCCCTTTATTATTCTCTTAATTATAAACAATCATTACAACTTTGAGCTTTCCATATTCGAAAGTAAACGTGTACTGCATAAATCATCATAATCCTATTTTCATAAATCGATCGTACCAATATGATGAAAAACACTAAGTAACTGAATACAGTCACACTTTAACCAACAAGTCATTGTATATAGTAAAACAATAGATGCTACCAAAAATGAATGCAAAATTGAACCATAAGAGAAAACTTAATGAACCCTACCGTTATAACCTATTCAAATCCTATAAGCTAGTCGATCAACGCCAGTAGAAAATTAGCGCCTTCTACTACATACCCTCTAAGGACTACCAACCGCCGTCATTATACCTGATTGCTAAATGTGCTTTCACAATGATCGCGTTCTTTTTAGGAATATATTAACCGGTGAGGAACCAAGCATTTCCGTATTTGATCTCTTTTCATCCGATGCAAATAAGAAATCTTGCAAATGGTAATTTACTGTAGTAGGGTGTGCTGTCTTGTAATTGAACTTTTCCATTCGCTAATTTTCTATTTACTTATGTGTAGGTAAAAGGGTTCTTACTTATTTTTGTCTTGCTGTATCTGCTTTACCTGGCCTGTTTCCGCTATTTATAAATCGTTAGAAATTATGCAGTCTTTGTTTCCTAGTTGTTTATTAGAGTGATGCAATATTTGAAAGATTCGCTCCATAGTGCTCAAACAGTTGCAAATCATGTTCTGATCATTCACCCAAAATTTGAACTAATTTAGTTCATAACTGACTGTACACAAACCATTTGAAGTATGTATGGGAATCACTAGGTGGGCTAAATTTAGTTTATATGCTTCTCAATTAGACAATTCTCGATTACTTTTTCGAGGGACGTGGCTTTTGTGAACAATGCATAACTTTCGTGTTAGTATGCGTGAGCGAGTTACGCCAAACCGACGATCAAATGTATTGTTTACAAAAGCAGATACGTCCCTTTGAAAAAGTTATCGAGAATTAGCGAACAATTTTGATGTGTAAGGAAAATAAGTAATCGTTGTAACAAGTCTATAGGGGGCTGCATTAATTCGAATGAGAAGCTATAGCCCTCTCCCCCCTCTAGCCCGCTCGTACGCAAATGAGAAAAAGCAAACTATTTTTTTCTGTTAAATTCACCATATTTATCTACAAAAAAAATGATAGCTGTTACAGTACAGTACTTCTATCAAATTTTCTAAGCTACAACTTAGCTGAAGATCCATTTTCCATTAAATGTAAGTTACAGCAATTATTTATGTGGGCCTATTCTGCGTGGTGTGGGAGGTGAGATGACAGTGAAGTGACAATATTTATTGTCACCTCAGGTGAGGTGACTGTCCATTTGATTTGCACGGAGAGTCACCTCACCCGTCACAAGTGACAGCGTGTCACCTCTCCTCACACGCCCCGCAGAATAGGTCAAATGGTTTAAGACGCTGATGTCTTATGATTATGATCAATCAACAGCAGGCAATATTGGTGTTTCTGACGCGTGGAATAGAACACAAAAATCATGGCTATT